GCGATTTCCATTCCTCAGAAAATTTCTGAGGAGAAAAAAGGAAATAGAATAGAGATGTCACCTGATTTTTAAAAGAGTTGTTTATAAAATAAACACATCAAACTTTAATAGAATTGTCACAGGCCAAAATGTCAAACAAAAAACATGTTTCCAAAAATATAAGCCAAATGTGGAATTCTAGTCTCTCGTGTGTCTTATATGGACAAAAGGCAAATGCATCCCCTAACTAAAATGCTCATTATGTTTTCATTGACATTTCTGAAGCCATATACTTTTTTCTCATCCATAAAACCAGTCTTCAAAGACCACCATCAGCTTACTTAAGTCAAAGAAGGCTCCAAGTGTGATCCCACAGGAGGTCATAATCACGAATATGGCAAAATGGGTCTTTATCATTTCAAAATCCAAAAATCTAACTTTTTCAAGAAATATAAAGTTCCAAATATGTGTTAGGTCCATGGATCAACTTGTTTTTGTATCCTAGTATTGTGTCAAGCACAAAGTTACAATATTTTTTTTCCATTTTGAAAGTATTATATGATATTATATGATATAGAATACGGTTTTGTTTTCTAAATACAGACATCAAAGAACTTTCTGTGTAAGTTTCATCTAAATAAAGCGTAGAAGGTTTCATAAATTTCATCTGTAATCTACTTATTTTATTTATTTAAATGACTATTACAACTAGGATGCATTATTTACAAAGAATCTTACCATTACATTAACTCATGTGAAAGTTCAAATTGTTACTTATTCTAAAAGAAAAAAGAGAAAATTAAACAGTTCCTTAAGAAAGGCATTTACATGTGGATTACATACATCAGCTGGCCACAGTGAATGTGACATATTAAAAAGTACCAATAATTTTGCTTAATTCTGAGGGCTCTATAGTTTTATAAATTTTACTCATTACAGTCCTACTCTGTCTTTAAGCTTCTGCTTTCATTTTGCCAGCAGATGTGCCATGATTGCATTTTTGTTCCATGCTTATGGTCACTTGCTGGAATGGGATTCTGGAAGAATATTTTATGTTTAATGCCTTGAGCCATCTGCCACAGAAGATCACAGATTAAGCTGTGATGTTATGATAGTGAAAGACTTTGACTAAAGACTTGGGGCTGATGTAACAGACCAGTAACTGTGTGAGACAGCAGACTGATGCATCCCTCCAACAAGAACAGAAGCACGATGGAATACTGAAATTCCACCCACATCTACTGAGCATTCTCTGGAAATGACTGATATACAAATTGAATTCCTGAGAGCCAGATTAGCAAAGGAGAATTTTTTCATCTTAAGTGTTCATTCTGATGGGTAACACTCTGATCTAGGCAAAAATAATGAGAACTGAAGTAGGGAAACAGAAGTATAAATATAAAGGAAAGATATTATAGTGGGATAATTTAGGGCACTGTAATGAGGTTAATTTGACTTAAAAAAAATTTGGAGAGGTAAATGCAATTGATAACACCTTTCGTCAAAACAGATCTATATTCCATGCCTTTCCACCATGCTCTCTGCATTGGGAGGCTGACCTGTGTAGTCTACAATGAGCTCCCTTGCTCTATGGATTCCAGATGGGTTTAGTCCATGGCAAACTGGAAAGGTCATCAGAGGGAAGAGAGAGATCAGAATGCTAATTCCATTCACTGTATTCCAGTGAGGCTGCCTCACACTGGCTACATCTCTCTATCTAACAGTGCCTCTCAAAACAGCTCTCTACCCTCCCACCTCTTCTTCCAGTTCCAGCAGCCACTTCCTTTCCACATCTTTTGGGCTGAGGATAGTAACAACCCCACTGCTATGAGCCCTGGACACTACACTCACCCTATGGTTTCCTTAAACCTAACCTCATCTAAGTCCACAGTTTGCTAGGAAAAGGTACATGTTAGTCAATGGCAGTGCTGGATCTAGACTCTACAGCTTCTGTGTTCCTACATCTGTGTTCTTTTCATAGAATGCAGCATACATCTACTTGACTGGTTTCCATGAGTCAAGTATTGAGTATAATCTGTATCCAATATTTTGCTGATTGATATGTCTGGAATAAAATAGAAGTATAACCATTCTCCAGCAATTTACAATCAGTCTTAATCGATTAATAATTCATACAAAAGTTTTGAAATGAGTACAAGAGACATAACTGTGAAAGCTACAGGAAAATAGGGTGTGTTGTAAGACCAGGGTACTGCCCTCTAGTATTAACATTTGGAGATTTCAGAGATCTGTTGGTGTGAGTGAGAACGAAGTAACAGGCTTATTGTCCCAACAATCAAGGACTATCTAATTTATCATGTTTAAGCATATAATTTTTAATTGTGGAATATAACATGTAAGTGTAAGAATCTATAAACCTATCTGCTCCTACACTATTGAAACCATCCTTCTAACTGACAGCTTAAATCAGGGATGGGAACCTTTTTTCTGCTGATGGCTATTTAGATATTTATAATATCATTCGCAGGCCATACAAAATTATCAAATTAAAAATTAGCCTGCTATATTTGATCAAACATTTAATTAGCTCGCCCCTAATGTTTTGGCATGGCCAGACTGGAGGATTTCATGGGCCTTATAAGACTTGAGATCCAGACATTCCCCACCCCTGGCTTACCTAAAAGCATATTTTGGCAAATGAACCAAGAAATTTTTTTAACTTATTATTCATGTATGTATGTGTGGATTTATGTATGTATTGTTACCATTTAGCTGTACATGTGAAATAAGGAAAGTCTGAAAGCCCATACTCCTGAACATTGCTTCTTAGAAATAACATGTGTGTTTTCCTCCTGTTTACTATATGATTGAGTATATATAATTCTCAACTCTGCTGAGAACCTTCTTAACAGAAACGGTAACTACAAATGCACCATTATTCTATTTTCACATATTCATGATTTTTTCAAGAGCATTTATCAATGGTTGAGAAGTTACCTGCTTCAATTCTCCTAAGGGCAAAATTTCTTTAAATATGAAGAGCTATTTTCAATTTGGAAATTATTGCTGGGAGAAAAAAGGTAATGTCTATATAGACAGTTAAAATTATCTCTATTCATCTTAAGGCTGAAATCTTGAAATTAGTTCATTCTGTTAATTATGATTGCTTCACAAATTTTTCACTTTTACCACTATGTCTAAATATCAGACTTTGGAAAGTGGATGATGACTCCCAAGATGCCCAGTGAATTGATAATTAAGAAAGAAAAATGCCTCAACAGAGAAAAAAATCATCCTAACAGACCTTTCCTCAGGAATCTGTTCTACAGGAAACTTCCACCCTTGAAAAGGTAGGTCAAGTAAGCATATTTCCCAGGGTGTGAGGGTGTCACAAGCAGAGACATCCTCAGGGACAGGCAGTTAATCTGAATGTGTGAAGCAGCCACGTCTTAGACAATACAGAGTTGTGAGGATAATAACTCCCTGCGAAGTTCGGACCCCTAAGGCCTGAAGTGTGTGTATGTGTGTGTACAAATAAAAGAACTGCTGGATTCTGAATTCTGTCTGTGGACCACCAGTTTGTGGTGTCAATTTTAGGCGGACAAGTTGAATTCTTCTTTCTACATTTCAACTTTGTGGAAATTTTTCATTCCTTCGGTCTAACTAGTTCAAAACATTTCATTTATTGCAGTGGTCTGAATGTGTGTGTGTCTCCCCCTCCCCCCTCAAAGTCCATATATTGAGATCCTAACCCCCAAAGAAGATAGTATGAGGAGGTGGAGCCTTGGATTGTGCTTAGGTCATCAACCTTTATGAAGGAGATTAGTATTTTTATAAAAGAGACACTAAATTGATTCCTAGTCCTTTGACCACATGAGAACACAGCAAAAAAGCGATGGCTATTAACCAGGAACAGGGCCCTCACCCAACAATGATGGCTTCTAGTCTTGGATTTTCCAGCCTGCAGAACTGTGAGAAATAAATGTCTGTTGTTTATAAGCTTCCCATTCTACAGCATTCTGTTATAGTACCTCAAATAGACTTAAGACAATGACCAACCTACCCCTTTATTTTCAGTTTTATAAGAAGAATCAAAGAGTCAAAGTATTAATTTTAAGTTTCATTTCCTAGGCATTGGTGGGGAAAAGCAACTTTCTAAATCTAATGCATCTCCTGTCTTTTAAATTCTTCTACTTCTTGTATACAAAACACCAGAGGAAAGATTTCATGAAATTCCAGTATAGAGCAGTTCACTGATAAAAGTCAGGTATTATCAAGATTACTTAAGAATTACTGACATCCTAAACACTGAGAACTGAACTGTGAAACAAAGGATTATCTTAGTTTTATTCTTCAGGTAAAAAAATAAATAAATAAAACCACACACACAAAATACCATTAACTAAATGTTGATCTTATCTTGTACTGTCTCAAAGAATCACAGTTGTGACTTTACGTTACCCAAGCATATTAATGGGATACAGGATGTCTGCAAAACCCAACTCGATCATCTGTTTTTCCATACATTCGTTATTATGAGATGAAAAGTTTGGCTAAGATAACACTCACATCTTATGCCAATACTTATGTAACAACACAGTTTAAGTTTCCTCCCACAGCTCATAATTTAACTACTACTAAAATACTTAAATGGACAGCTGATGAGCAAGAAACTCTACATCAAAATTCCTGATTAATATGAAATGAGTTTTTGCATTCCTACTCAAAACTATGGATTTAAAAGGTATTTTCTTAAATTGTGAATTTTTACATAGAATATGCTCCACTTTTTTCATTTTAGTACAGTCAGAATTATGACAGTCGGGATTTATGACAGAATTATGTGAGCAAAATATCTGTGGAAAGTTTTTCAAAGCTGGACTATGGTTGTTCTTTTTAAAAAAATACATATGCCTATGGAAAAAGACTGGAGAGCAATTTTTTAAATGCACAAAATTGCATTGGAAAGCAATTTTTTAAATGCACAAAATTACATAAAATTGTATCATTGTTGATACAGTGTAAATTCAATGAAAATTACTTAAAGCTCAAGTACTTACCATCGTTGGAAAATAACGACTGGTTTTGAATTTTTTCAGGGCCATGGAAGAGGTGTAGGTGCCCAAGAAGAGGATGAAAGACATGAGTGTGACATCGGGAACAAAATCGCAGTTGCTCCCCACAAGTTGGCCTCCATATTTCAAACACTCCTTCTTCGACAAAAGTGCCCAGTCAAAGGTAGCGTTGTCGTACTAAAGAAGAAAAACATGAACATTTTTCTAGAGCACATCGATACATCAAAAGCTTTTCTACTTGACGGGCCCATAGGGATTATGCGAAAAGTCTCTGTAAAACAGTCTGGAGGACCCCCTTGTAGGGTGAAACTGGGTGAGATGTTAACAAGTACGGGTGCCCAGGAGGCTGGCAGTTATTGAAAATACAATGAAAATGTCACAGTCTGTTACCTACTTTGAGCTACAGCCTGACAGTCACCTATTTGTTCAAACCAAATCCTTCTTTCCCATCAATCTTCCAGAGAGTAAACTGAGGCACAATATCCTGTCTCAAAACATGAGAGTCTGAAACACGGTCATTCAAAAGTACTTACTTTTGTAGTGAGCAGCTCTTTATTTTATTTTTTTATCCAAAAAATGATATTCTTTATTGGTATGTTTTTATTATTGTAGTCTCTTTGACATATTCAGATATATAATTTCCTTTTCCCTTCTCTTACTACATTTCTCTTTCTCTTTTCACTTTCTTCATTAGTCAATATTTTTCCTCTCTTCTCTTGCTCTTTTCTTCTAATATTTTTTTAATTTTAAAATTTTTATTACCCATTACATGTTTCCCCCCCCCTGGATTTTTTAAATTATATTTTTAATAACTTTATTGATTAAGGTATCACATATTTGTCCTCATTTCCCCCATTCCTACCCAAACCCCTCCCCATGCATGCTCCCACCCCTCTGCTGTCTGTGACCACCAGTTAGGCTCATATGCATGTATACAAGTTCTTTGGTCAATCCCTCTCCCCTAACCCTCTGCTCCCCTACCTTCCCTCCAAGGTCCAACAGTCTGATCGATGCTGTTCTTGTTCATCAGTCTATGCTGTTCATCATTTCCCCTAGATGAGTGAGCTCATGTGAGCAGCTCTTTATGCTTCAAGCTTTTAATGAACTAAAGGTTATGTTGTTAACTACTCATTTACCCAATGTTTTCACAAATGAGTTGTTTTCTAAATAACTGGAGTTGGAAAATTAAGGAATACAACTATAACATGTTGATGGACCCTGCTTTTTCAATGTACATCCTAATAAAATATAGCTTTTTTTCTTATCGACTTCAGGTCTGCATCATGAGTGTCCCTCATTGGAACGTGTGGTAATGGGCTGTGGTGTTGTGTATGGGGTATCCATCCATCCCTACATTCATTGCATGGCCTCAAGCTCAAAAGTCAATTTTCAGATTACCTTCTCATAAGTTGCTGTCATGTTGTCAGTGTTATGCTTCGCAAGAACAGCTCACTCCTGTTCCTAGTTTCTGTTTCTACTATGCAGGAGAATCCTTTGGCTAAGGTAATGAATAGGCCAGTGCATCCATCCCTAGCTGCTCTGAGTTTTAGCTGCGACCAGCTCCGAGCTCCCTTCTTCCCTAGAGAACTGACTTCAACCTAAAAGCTCCCTCATCTGGAAGCCAATTACTGACCACACTAATGGTGTGGATAGTGATTGAATATTTGGGCTTCCCTAAAACTCAATGTTGAAACTCTAATTCCCTAAGGTGGAGCCTTCATGAATGGGATTAGTGTCCTTATAAAAGGGATCCCAGAGAGCTTCCTTAGCCCCTTCTGCCATGTGAGTACACAGTGAGACTGTCAATGAGCTAGAAAGCATGATCCACACCAGATACTGACACCATGATATTGGACTTCCTCTTGGGTAGAGAGCTAGTGGGTATATTATGTGTAAACAGAAGAGCTATTTGAGGATACCTTGCAAATAAGTATGGAAAGGTAAGTTTCTCCTGTCCTTTGAAAGCAAGAGTTCTACCTCAAACCAAATGCATCCTCAATACCATTTACTATTCAGTGGATTCTCTTGATAGGCGTGATCTAGTCAAAAAAGATCAATACATATAAAAGAAGGCTTTCTGGACAGGAAGAGTGCTATATTTTTATAGAAGTCAACATGTAAAGTGCTCACACTTTTCTTTTACAACAACAACAAAAATAAACTCTAAGTCATTCCTTGAAATATTTTTTTCTATATTAGCTTCAACTTAAAAACATCTTAATTGCATAACTACTATTTTATCAAATTCTGCTTCTGAGAGTTGATTAATCACGTCTCATTTTGATTTTTCAAATTTCTGCAAATGGATGTTTTCAGCAGAATACATTTAAAGTTTAGGGGTCATAATAGGTAACAGAATTCTCTGTTTTAAACTCAGCAAATATTTACTATAATTTCAGTTCAGGTCTTTTTATATCGGCAGAATGACTGTTTTTTTTTTCCAATTGCCACCTGGGGATATGCTTTTATTTATTTTGATTTTAAAGGGAGAGGAAGGGAGAAAGAAAATTAAAAAAAAAATCAATGTGAGTGAGAAACATCCATTAGTTGCTTCCGTATATAGGCCCAACCTGTGATTGAACCAACCAGCAACCTAGGTTGTAGCCACAACCTTTAGGTGTATGAGATGAGGCTCCAACCAAGCCACCAGCCCAGGGCCACAATGCTTTTTTATAACTAGAGTTCCCAAAGAGGTAAGCTGCATTAAAAAAAAAAAAGTACCAACAGGAAGTTTTATTGATTTTCTTACAAAGATTCAGGTTGAAGTGAAAACTATAAACATGTACATGAAATGACAGAGGTGTTTTCTTGCTTACACACAATGATTCATTCACTTATCCAGTAAGTCCTTTATTCAAACCTTACTGGGTGCTCACCATGTGGAGGGACTGATAGTGAGTGGACCGGGTGGGTCAAAGCAGATTGTCCATGTAAATGGGAAGTGAGGGGGGGAAAATGTAAAGGAAATGGGGCCAAGTTTCTGGTGGTTTTAACTGAGGTCAAGCTCACAGAAAAGGATTTTAGTCTATTTCTCTGGATCTCATTTCCTAGAGACCCTGTTTCTATCAAGTGGATTTGTTTCTAACTCTTAAAAGTGGAATGTATACTAAAAGATTAACTTCAAAATTTAAAATACTATCGCATCCTCTCCAATCACAAAAGTGGGGGCTAGATGAGAGGATGGGCAGAATGTGGACAGTCTCTGAAGCTAGGTCATATGTATGTAGGTTTCCCTGTGCCATGCTCTCTACTTTAGTGCATGTTTCACATGTTCCATAATAGTTTAAAAAACTAGGCACACGTAATCTTCAAGGAGATTTAAGGACATAGTTGCTTCTGCACTTATCTTTCTCAATGAGAGAAAAGCATAAGGACTCTACGCATAGGAAGATAAAAATGACATTCCATTTCCTATTGAAATGAATCTTCACTCATCGAATTGCCCAGAAGGTATATCAAATCAAAGCACTTTTGCTTTCATGTCTGGCTGCCAAGCAGGATATATGAGGCTATAATACTTCTTAGTCCCATGATTAACAGCATCTCCATGTAGACATGATATGCTTTTCTGGGTAATACAATCAGCAAAAAAAAAAAAAAAATTTTTTTTTGAAAAATTAACAATTTTACATTGCTCTCTTTGAGTATAGATTGGTAAACTACATGCCTTTTATATATATATATATATATATATATATATATATATATATATATATATATATATATGGTCGTAATGCTATAAATAAAAATCTCAAGTACATATACTCATTTAGGGTTCTTTCCTGCAGAGGATGAGTCAGCTTTGCAGCAATGGACAATCTTATTTTATGATGGACAGGATGCATTTGAACTTCAGTTGTCTGTGTTATATCAAAATATAATTAGTTTTGTAAAATATCAAAACTAATTAGTTAAGATATAGGAAATCGCATGATACCATCACAGCTGGATAAGCTATAAAATCATAATTTTTAAACATCTACCAGAGATGAGGATTCAAAAAAACCTAAATAAATTCCAAAAAGTTACAAAACCTTCAAAGGTTGCCTCACCCCTGGCGGAGTAGCAGGTGGAAGATAAAGCAACTACAAATGGAGGTAAGGAGAAATAAGCCAAGCCTTAAATGAATTTTTAATAGCTGCCTAATGCCCATTAGGATTCTGAGGGGCGTTAAGCATAGATGGAGCCTGTGTCCACCCACCAAACTTTTTCACAGTCTTTGCCGCATGCCCAGGTAGTACAGAAAAGGCCGGAGGTTAGATCAGATTGCTGCAAGAAATCCCCCTTAGAACAGCAACTCCACCAAATACAAGAAAGCCCCTTTCCTCAGCGGGGAGGCAGGGCAGGAGAGCTGAGAGAAAACCCTTGGAGCCATTCAGGCACTTTTGACTGAAGAGGACTAAGGCATCTGACCCCTGGAGGTTGAGGGCAGAGCAGTCGGAAAAAGAAAGATCTCCCAAAGCCCAAAAGCTGGGGCAGAGAACAAGATCTCGGGCATTCCATGGGGCATTCTGGGATGAGGGGAATGTTCTTGTTTGGTGTGGCGGTTACATGAGTGTATAAAATTGCCAAAATGCATTGCAGTGAACACGTTAAGAACTGCACATTCTACGGCAGGCCTCAACTTACTAAAAAATAAAAAAAGGAATTTAACATAAAAAGGAAATACCACCTGCTCCATTCAATGACCTCCTCCAAAGAGATGGCATTAGATTTTTGAAATCTGGTCTCTCCCATTGAGAACTGCTAAGTGGAAGCCAACAGATCTTAAAGCTTACTGTTTAGATATACAGGGTGGATAAACTGTGGCTGGTCTCAAAGTCTTAAAGTGACCTATGAATGAATTTTGCTTACGAGTTGAAGGAATATACCAGAGGAGAAATCTATGGGAAAACTGATAAAGGTAAGAAGAATTAAAGACACAATGAATCCAACAATAAATGAAAATAATGGAAAACCTGCCCTTTTATCTTGGGGGATGGCTATTCTAGAGTTCTAATCCCTGTCTAAATGTTCCAATGCCCCAATTTTCCTGCTCTTTCCCCATGAAGACAGGCCGCCCCCTCCCCCCCCCCCCCCAATCACTAGGAAGAAGACTAATGAAGCTGAAAGAAAAGGCTTTCCTTCCTCCAGCAGGATGTTCTCAGGGTCTGAGAGGGAGTCTGGCTGGTGCCTGGCACTGCGTGTCCCTTTCACAGCACCTTCTCTCGTGATCTAATTATGGGTGAAAGGAAAAGGAGGAAATTAAGTGCTGATGACTGTACATCACAGGGAAGGTTCAGGTGGTGGAGCTCGCGTGGCTGGGCAGACAGGGGTCTCAGCAGCCTGTGGGAAGCAGGGGCTTCCGTTTCTTCTCTCCATCAGTCTGAGTTATGGAGGCAGCACGGCCTACTGGAATGGTAATAATATCCAAACAGAATAATAACGGCATGATGACTGAGAGATATGTGCCAGTTACTGTGCTACATCCTATCTGTTTATTCATTTGACCCTTATACAGGGTGGAGCAAAAGTAGGTTTGTAGGTGTTTATATGGGAAATAATGCAAAAGGTAATCAAAAATAATACAAGAATAAACTTTGTGTTTTGTATACTGACAACTGTAAGCCTACTTTGGCCCCACCTTTCAGGATCTTGGTGTATGTACTATAACCATCACCAGTTTACAGAAGGGAAACTAAGAAGGTTCTAGGGGCTGTTAAGTAGTGGAGCCTTGCATCTGAAGCTAGGCAGTCTGACACGAGAACTTAATATCTGCAAGTCTTCTACATGAAACACTGTTTTGATTACCCAGAGAATGGAAATGGGCAAATTTTGAAGTGGGAAAGCCTAAGTTCAAATCCTGGTTTTACTATATACTGGTGACATGGCCTTTGGAAGATCAGTTAACCTTTCTAAGCCTCTGTTTCATCTATAAATTACAGGTTACATAATAACTCACCAAGTTATTGTAAGGATTATAGACAATTAATGTAAAGAGTCTGTCCCCTAGTAGGTGCTTAAAAAATGGTAGTTATTGCTGATAATAATCATATTATCTCCTCAATACTCATTTCTAGATTTTCTACCTATATATTGTCAGTATGTGCACGTGTGCGTGCGTGCGTGCATGCGTGCGTGTGTGTGTGTGTGTGTGTGTTTGTGTGTTTATACAAAGGAACTGATATGTATAGAAAAGGAGAAATGAAAATAGAACAAACATTATCTTTCATAATTATATACACACATATGCATATTTTTTCCTAATTTTTTTCTCTGAACATAGCAACTTAATAATTTAATTACGGTGTGCAATTAACACACAGGAGTGGCTGCTGCCCTGCAATGTACAACACTCACAGGAACTGAAAGGGTAAACATTTCAATATCCCAAGTCTTAGAACTACCCACACTTCACTTCAATTCTTTGTTCCACAAATTTATGGCTACGTGATCTAGAGCAAGAAAGATTTCTTACTTTCGGGAAATTGTTTCTTTCATTTACCAAATGGAGATAATCATGCCTGGTAGTTTGTGTTAATGATTATAATAGATATTAAGGCTTATAATGATTATAAGACATGGGAAACACCTTGTTGGTAGCAGATGCTCTATAATTGGCAGCTAACTTACAATCATCATTGTGCCTTTATATCCTCTATCATGGTCACAAACTGCCATTTATTTTCCATGAATCTTACAGTGTCATCCAACTATAATTACAATATATCAATTACTAAGTCTCCCCAGGTCTTGCCCAAAGACAGGCTTAAAAATTCATTAATTTTATAGCTTTCCTTGATTAATTAAACAAAAATAATTAAGTTAGGAACAATCTCTCTTTAAGTCAGTGGAAGCAAGTGTTTTATTAATTTTTATTGCTTACAGTTTTAATTAAATATACTTTAAAATTTTTATTAGATTTTAATTAAAATTCTTTAAAGTCTAGAAGACAGTATTTTTCTCTGTATTTTTAATCAAATCCTTTCAGGCAATAGGCTGGCTGGCTAAAAACTGAACTGTTTTCTCAATGTGGCTTTTAAAAGGTATAGGCACACACACACACACACACACACACAAGTGTGGAAGAATAAAAGAGGCTACATTTGGGGAAAGTCAGAGAAAACTTTTTTAAAAAGTTAAGAGAGAGCCACAGACTATGAAAACAAGAGAGAAACAGGGTCAAGTGGGAGTTGTCCAGGACAGATACAAAACATCGTTTTTGAAAGGGATGTTGTGTATAATACCTGCAGAAATGTTCTGGTCTCCTGAGAGATGGGCACTCTATCAATACAAGGTATTATGGTTCCGGTCTTTATAAGTGAGAGATTGATATTCTTTGGTCAGAGTCCATGTCCAGTGCAGGAGGAACACAATTGGAAGTGTGAGACAGCACTTTTCTCTTTTTCTCCAGCACAAAAGTCTCCTTCCAGTGTGTGACCTTCCATGCAAAACAGCTCATTTTTAAAACTTAGTTCAAGTCTCTCAAAGATCCTTGGTTACTTGCCATGGGAAAGGATATCATGTGACAGAAGCTTGGGTTTTTTTCTAAGTGACAGGGGAAATATCCCGCTACAATCACCCTTAGTGTTAGTGAAGAGAACACAGTCAGAAGAATTCCTAATTGTACTAGGAACAGAGAGAGGACACCATGCTCTCATTTCTCGACTCCCCTCACTTTACCTTGTGAAAATATTTCAAGGTAACAGTTAATTGGCTAAGCAATTAAATTCCTAAGCAGGTTTAAAAAGCATTCGGTAGAAGTAAATATTCATTCCAATTTTTTTAAAAACACACACACACACACAAGAAAAAGCAAGCTAAATAGAGAAAGGAAAGTATTATTTCTGTCCTAACATCACTGAGTGTTCAACGTGCTTGGGCTAGGCTTGCTGAGTGGCAGGAGACATCACATTATGAATATAATAATTAGGGTATACAATAAGCAAGTGTACAAGTGGCTTGGAATATTAAGTCACTTACCAAGTCTGTAGGAAACATAGATGGCAATTCCTCTGGCGCCAATGTGGTGTCATTAGATACTGAGATATTAACTGTAAGACAAAGATCATTTTTACTATAAAAGGAAAATGTAAATGACAAAAAAAATGCAGAACTGGTCATCTGAAAATGCAGGGCTAGGCATTACAAATGTCTTTAATAACAATGTAAGGGCACAATTAATTTTCTTTTATTAAAACTACTAGAGGCCTGGTGCATGAAATTCATGCAAGAGTAGGCCTTCCTTCCCCCCAACTGCCAGCACCTGCTTCCCTCAGGCACCCGGGACCTGGGCTTCCCTTACAGCCCCAGCTTCATCTGGAAGGTTGTCTGGAAAGACATCCAGTCTAATTAGCATATTATGCTTTTATTGTTATAGATATTTACCTTTCACCTAGGTAAAATAATAAAAAATTTGGTCACATCTGTCATGCTCTAATCTGGTAAGAAACATGGCAAATACTGAATGAGATGGCATTAAAATTTGTTTCAGGTTTCATACTTCAGTAGAAGACACGGTTATTAACAAGTTGGTGTCTGCCTTTATGTAGAGTCAAACTCATAAAATGGAGTTTCACTAAGAGTCAACCTCTTGGGAATTTTTGTAAGTTTGGACTGTGTATGAGAAAATATGTCTTTGAAAATGTGTGAAAAAAAACAGTAATAAATAAATAATAAATTATATACATATAATTGGGGTGAATATTTAATCTAATTTTTAAAAATTATTTCATCTAATTTGACATCATTTGTAGATGTTACCTGCAAAAAATCAAATTTATTTATTAAGCCAACCCTCCTCTTGCAACTATTTCATTTAGTATTTAAAAAGTACTCTATAATTAAAAGTTTTCTTTATCAGATGAGCCTTTTTCCTAATATGTAAAGCTTTCTATATTATAAAATACACTGCTACTCGGAATATCTCTAATGTATGGAAATAATGTCCATTAACAATTACCAGGTTTTTGTCTATGAGGGTTCCACAGTTCATTTAACATCCAAATTGCTAATTATTGTTTGGTCCCTAAGCAACACCCCTTCCCCAAGCTTCTAGCCTGTCCATTTAGTTTGCCATGGTTTACATCTCACCTACATAAATTTGTAAGTACCAAACAGGTTTATTTGGCTGTGAACTTTCAAATGTAAGCTCTGTCAGGGAAGAATAGAAGTGGCATGTCTTGTTCACGGTGTTTCCCCAGAATCTGCCCAGTTTGGCACTTAACTAATAGGAACTCAAAAATGTTTATTATTCAATCTTTAAAAAGAAGAAAATCCTGCTATTTGCAGCAACATGGATAAACATGAAGCACTTTAATTTTAAATGAAATGAGCCAAAGACAAAGACTAATACTGCCTGGTATCACTTATAGGTAGAATCTTAAGAAAAGAAAAAATAGGTCTAACTCAAAAAAACAGAGAGTAAAAAAAATGGTGGCCAGGGCCTGGTGGTAGGGAAATAGGAAGAGGCTGGTAAAAGGATATGAACTTTCTCTTTAAGATGAATAAAATCTAAGGACCTAATGTAACATATGGTGACTATAATTAATAATACTGTATCATTTAATTAAAATTTGCTAAGAATAGAACTTAAGTGTTCTCATCAAACAAAATAAATATGTGAGGTTGTGGATGTATTAATTAACTTGATGGAAAACTTTCACAATTCATATGTAAATAAAATCATATTGTACACTTTAAGTATATTAAAATTGTTTTTGTCAATTATACTTCAATAAGTCTGAAAAATATTTGTTTATGATTAATAAAAGAAGCGAAGAAAGGAGCCATTTAATTTGTAGACACAAATGAATGAGAGCAGATAAAGGCAAACACAAGGAAGTAAGGAAAGAAAGAAAAAGAGGGGAACTATTTAGCTTAAGTCCTAGTTCTCAATTTGAGAGTCCATGCTGACCTTTGAAGGCTCTGGAACTGGAACATTTTCAACCTAAAGCTGGCTGCTGCCAGAGAGTTTCCATTTCCTCCGTAAAACCAGCACACATACACACTGTCTATGGGCTTATGCTCTGTCTCATCACAGGTCACAGAGAGAACCAACACAAGTGAAAGGATGCTTGTCCCAAGCAACACAACCAAACATGCATCCACTCCCAGAAGAACGATGTTAGCAAGTCATCTTCCACAAAACCTATGTTTTTTGTTACCATTTTGTCCTAACAGCTTGAAGCACATTTCTCACATGACTCCATTGGATCACTGAAAAACACACAAGCCCTTTAAACCCTTTTTGTGTTGAGTGGGACTCTGGACCACGCTACGCCAGGGTTCTTGCCCAAGGTTACAGGGTCAATCCGAAGTAGAGTTGGTACCCAAACCTGCTCAGCATTCTTTCTTTCCCTACCCAGCATTGCTAACTATCAAAACCAAGATGATGCAGGTGGCCGCAGAATTCAAGGTGGGAGAGGCATTGCTAGTGTTAGATGATGCGAATCTTGACTGGAACGGAAATGTCTGAGTGTTGGGAAGAAAACAGAGAATGTGCAACCACAGGCACTACTTAGATGGGGTCTCAGAAACTGCTCGTCCTGAGCCAGGTACTTCCAAGCAATTTTATGAGCTTTCTGCATGAGGCAGTGAAGGTCTTTTTGCAACACGCTTTCTCTGCATAGAAACAAGGAGTGGGTTGGGAAGGGAAAGGAAAGTCAATGCTCTTTGTGTGTGAAATGAAGGAGAGGTAATGAAGACCACGAGGAAACTAAAATAGGATTCCAGTCTGAACTTTTAGCAACTGCTCTTAAGTTTTGGGGACATGTCAATGCCGTTCTTAAAATTCCTTGTACCTTTTTCGTTTTCCTCGGAGTCAAGCTATGAAATAAAGTCCATAGTTTTCTCAAAATACCAAAAGGCCAGTATCAAAAGAACAGTAAAAAATATCAACTATTCATACTTGTTTTAATAAGCAGCTGTTTCAAGAGAAAAACTTTAAAATAAATACATAAACAAGTGCTTCCATAAATATATATTGGCAGAATATGATAGAGTCCATAAATAAGATTAAAAATTAATTTATTTGAGTTCACAGGAGGAAAAAAAATGACTAATTCCAATTGGGAGTTTGGTCTATAAGAGCCATTGGTCACTGTTTGGATCTAGAATTGGATGCATGATACACATACGATACAAATATTTTTGGCAACCAACTGCAGAATGGTTTGTTTATATACAATATCCTTAATTAGAATTCTGGAAAGGTCAAGTGGAAAAGCCAAAATACACTGTGCTGTGCCTGTCCTCACTATTTGCTGAGCACCGTGGCTTATGAAGCTAAGGAAGTCTTTGCCCTAAAAGCCTGGCTCAGGTAGTATCAGCCACTTGTTACCGGGACAGTCTGTGCCCCATACTTGGTTTCAGAGAGTTTCCCTGGGTTAATCGTTTTATGTTACTTGGATTTTCACTTCTTGATCCTCCTTTCCACGTATCAAATTCTAGCTGATCCTCTGGAACAGGGGAATGAGCATGGTCAGTAAGAGACATTTAAACACATGTCTGTGAGTTTTCACTCTTTGGCTGGCTGTCCCTTCTTTATATTTCATGAGAGAGCTAGAGAAAGAACAGGCTGTGGGAGCTATTCGTGGACACATCCATGTGTCCTTGCTAGTATACCTATTGCAGAGGGACTATCGACTGCATTGCTCAACGCTGTTCTTCTTTATCGTCTAGTAACCTGGCACCAAGAACTGACCCATGACTCCTCAGCAGGAACTGTACCATCAGGAATACACACAAAAGCTCACATAAGACCACGAGGTCCAGTACTAGCAACAATTGGCCCCTGAGGCAGATCTGTCTGCTCTGATGTTACCACCACATCACGATGGAGAGAAAGGGACACTCGGAGACCTCGGCTGAAATTCTGCTACCTTCAGAAGCACAGGGTTTCCAACTCCCTCGCCACTTAATCCTGAGGAAGTTATCCCACTCCTCTTGACTACAATTCCTCATTTGTGACATTGGATTTAGAACAATCTACCTCAGAAGAAGCCTGTGTGGATTAAATAAAACAACGTAGGCATCACTGTCAGTACAGGGTCCAGTACTAGGCAACAGCTAAATAAATGGTAGCTAAGATAATTACTAGCTTTATGACATGGAGAAAGCAGAATTATACCCTTGGTATGGAGAGAATGTGATAATATATGTGATTATTAAATGCCTATGTATTATAATACATATATTAAAATGTAGTTTATGGAGATCCTCTAGTAAAAAGACTGGTATTGGAAGGGTGCTTCCTAAAAGTCAACTAAATCTGAAACTATTCCCTCCGCATAGCTTGTGGGGTTACAAGCACGTGAAACTCACTAACCTGCTCTGAATCAGAATACATTTAAGAGTCATGACAATAAAACTTTAATGTTTTAGCCCATTCTATTTCAGCAACTTCTTTAGGAAATTCAGGAACTGGAAAATAGATGCAGAATAAAACTGAATAAGATCCCTGCCTACCTGGTCATATCAGATTTCTTTAAGGGCCCTGGAAAATGTGAGCACGCATGTGCCTCTGGAGAAAGTCAAATATTTGTGCTTTCAATTTCTAGATCAATAAAAAAGCAAAGTGGCTTTTGTGGGGGTGACAAGGCAGTTGAGAGGAACTTTGAGAGATGTAGCTCTCAGGGAAATAACCTGCCAGTATTTCAGCCTTTAATCTTAAAACAGAATTAATAGAAAGTTTTTCTTCACTCTTTTTTGTTATTATCTGTTTTGTTTTCCTACATATCTTTACCAGGCCTGATGCTTGAGATTTTCACTCTAACGAGGCAAGGTCAGGTCTGGCCCGCGCAGGGCACGGACGCTTTCCCATGCTCACTCTGATCCTGCACTGGACGTTCGAGAGCTGAGCTGCTACCTGTATTAAGCTGGATATGTTTAGCCACAAAATTTATAGAAGTATTTTCACAAAAACTTCCTTTTCATACCCACTTATCTTACCTTTAGCACAGTGATCAGCAAACTCATTAGTCAACAGAGCCAAATATCAACAGCACAACGACTGACATTTCTTTTGAGAGCCAAATTTTTTAAATTTAAACTT